TTTTGCTTTAAATGTCTAAAAAGTTGATAAAAAAAATACTTTAAACCGTTATACTTGCAATTATAACAATTTTATAAACAGGTTTAAATATTTTTCTTCACTTTCAGCAATATGCGATCTGAACTCTTTTTGGCCAAACTGTTATACTAAACAATAGTATAGCTTTAGACAAGTTTTCTTGCATATTCATTACAGAAAAAAGTATTAAAAAGTTATAGGTGACGTTTAACTTAAGCTTTTCGCACTGTCAAAGCCACTGAAATGTTAGAAAACTTTTACACTGACCATTACTATTAGTCATGGTATTCTAGTAAAGCTTTAAGGAAATTTTTTTTACACAATTGTTTTTTTTACATTTAAAAAGTGTAAAGAATTTGTTAAGCGACCTACTCAATTCATATTGATAGCCTGCGGATACTTTTTCTGCTTTTAACTGCACATTGAAAAATATATCTTATTTACATAAGTCATTTTCCCCAAAGAAATATTTACATTTTAATTCACATACACGTAGCATTCGTACATTATAAATTTATTTTCAAATACTTTATCGGCATGCTCGATTTACTTCGCACAAGACTAAATTATCATAAATTTCAACTCGCTTTCCTGTCGAGATCACTAAACCACAAGCACAAATAATCAGAAAAAAAGGCTATGCTCCAGTTCAGCGATCTTAAGCAATGGTCAGTATAGCTCTTTGATCGATTGCTGCCGCGCTGCCATGATAAATAATCTACTTTTTTTGTAAAACGATCACTGAACGCGAAATATATAATATTTATGTATGCACATATGGAAGTACTCCTGAGCGTAGGCCGCACAATGCTCGAGCAAGTGGTGATCGCGGCAAAATTTTTTTTTTTTATTTTTTACTCTTTTTCCGCTTTTAAACAATAAACAATTTGCGCGCTGTTTTCGCTTTCTTTAAGTACCTTTATTTGCTATTTTTCAATATACACTATATATTACATTTCTTTACGGTTCTAAAAATGTATACAGAGAGCATAAGCAACGAGACTTCTGCGCTCTCTAAGAAGAATAAGTAGATTAGAGATAAAAGTCAAGCGAGAGCGTAACAGCAAGAATATAATAAAGTACAACAAACAAATAAAATAAAATAAAAAATAAATAAAAAATGCGAATATAAACTGTTAGCGTAGAGAGCGTGGTGAGGCAAGAGCATCGGCAGAATTTGGAGCAACATTAAGTCAATTTGATTGATAGCTGGCAAAGCAGAGCGAGACAAGATAAGGCAAGACAAGGCGAAACGAATTAAACCGATCTGGCTCTGCAGGTGGAAGAGTTGGTGAAGCAGCGCGGCTGCAGCGTCTAAATTATGCATTGAGCGTAGCGGAATGAGCGCATTTTCAATACATTTATTTAAGAGCGCTCTCGTTCGTGTACTGTTATGCAAGTGTGTGTGTGTGTATGTGTGCGTTTGTTTGCTTAAGCAATTTGCTTATATGTATATATTTTTTGATACACATATTTTTTATATATTTATTTAATATTTTATTCTTATGTTTATAAATTTTTAGCTTTTCTTGTTCTCTCTATGTCGTAGGTATGAAAAGCAGACGCTTTATTTTTTTGTTAATCTCTTATTGTTTTTTTTTTTTATATTTTTTTTAAGTGTACTTTAACACAAACATATGCATGCGATATGTACGCGATTATTTGTTTTATGATCTGGCTCTGTACTTTTTGTTGCATTCATTGCATTTCACTTTTATTTTGTATACTTACGCTCACAATACCGTTATTAGAACTGTAGATTTGGTACCGTACAATTTTGTTTAGAAATGAAATTTCTATCGCAAAAAAAAATTTGCATTTTTTTAAAAACATTTTGTAAATTTTTTATAATTTTTTTTTAAATAATATATGCAAACTCACTTGAATTTTAATTGTCATTTTTTATATCTTTTTTGTACATTTTTTATAACCTAATAAATGTTTTAGATTTAATAAATTTTGAAAATCTGCATAAGTTTTTAATTTTAGTATTATTATTTACTATTTTTATAATTTTTTTTAAATAATATATGCAAACTCATGAATTTTAATTGTTATTTTTTAATATTTTTTATATCTTTTTTATAAATTTTTTTTAATCTAATAAATGTTTTACAAAATTTTAGTATTATTATATACTATTTTTTACATTTTTTAGATTTTGGATTTAATAAATGCATACATATTTTATTAATTTTTGTTTTAAATTTATAATTAAAATTTTTTACATTTACTTAAAATTTATTTTAAATCGTTTTTTTTTTTGCTTTGTTAATAATTTATGTATATTCAGATTTTATAAAATTTTGTAAAACAAATTCAATGGAAGATTGCAAATGATTTACCTAAAATTTTTCCTTTCAGCCATTTTTTTTTTGTTTATTTATTTTTTTAATTAAACTTCCAGTAAACGTACATTGCTTTGAGCAACAACAAACACGAAAAAATATTTCCGGATAAAAAACTAAGAAATGCACATTATACCAAGCAAATATGCCAAGATAAAGTCATTGTAGTAATAGCAACAACAAAAACAACAAGCAAAAACAAATTGTATACATAACAATGTGTACTGTATTTGACTACGTATAATGAGATTAAATAAAACAGCAAACGTTATCGATAGTAAAATTGAGAAAACCAACAAAAACAACAACAACAACAACAACGCAACGATAACAGCAATTGTACAAAATTGGTGGTAGAGAGAAACAAGAATTTTTAAATTTATTTGATAAATAAAAAATACATACGAATACCAACACACTCATGTGGATAGATAGAGGTATATATATACATGTATGTATGTGTTTAAAAAAAGCTTGTTTTCTGCAATTGAATGTAACAAAAAACAAATTCTGTTTCACCTACATCCATACATAGATATGTATGTGCGTATATGTATTTGCATATCTTTACTTATTTTTGGACATATTTGTAGAGATGTATATAAGCATGTATGTTGGGAAAATTGTAACAAAAAACTTCACAGACGATAGCGATATGGGCAAAAGTTCCATACATGAATATATTATATATATTATATATATATATATACATGCTTATACAAATATGCCGTGGGTCTTTAAAGTAGCGTAATACAACAAGTATTTTAAAACAGCAACAACAAGCCAAACAATTACGTTTACTAATTGACTGTTATGTGCAGTGGCGTTGATTTTGGGGAAATAACTTTTGGATTAGATTTTTTTTCGGAAAAGAAAAGCTGTTTCTCTAGACAATCTTCAAATGTTGTTTAGATTAAGAAACAGTTTCATAGTTGAAAAAAATTTATAAGAAAAAGGAATGGAAAAAAATTGGAATAAATAAAAATAGAAAATAATATTAATTGTTTGTAAAAATAAAAATAAGCAACGAAAAATAAAAAATAAATAAAATTTAATTGTTAAAAAAATCATAGATGTGCAAAAACAATCATGAAATTTAATAATTAAAAATTATGGAAATAGGAAAAAAAGTGTAAAAAACCCGGTTAAAAAAAATCGCATAAAAAAAGAGCAACAACTTACGTGGTCAAAAAATTGGAATAAAATATCATAAACGAAAAAATAATAATAATAATGAATTTAATATTAAAAATAAGTCACTGAAAAATAACAATGACAATAAAATTCCGATATAAAAAATAGCAAAAAATTTTTTAGCCAAAAGAAAGCGATGAAAAAATTAATTAATTAAACAGTTTTTTTCGAATAAAAGTAAATATTGATATATAAAAATATGCATATATAAATATATAAATTCTTTTTTAAATTTAATAAAAAAAAATTTAAACAAAAAAATATATGCCCAATATTTTACTGAAAAATTACTGTAAGTTCAATCAAAAATTGTGGCAAAAAATGGCATCCAATGAGTTCAAATAAATGAAAATATAGTTCCACAATAAAAAAAACTATTAGAAAAAATCACAAAAGCATTCTTAGTTAAAAGAATAGGTAGAGAGTAGTAAAACAATAAATGCGGTATTAAAAAAAATAATTTATAAGAAAAAAAACTCTCTAGTTAAAAAGAAAACTATTCAAATTTAAAAATCAATCTGAAGCAAAAAAATAAACATTTTCATACAAATCTTGGTGATTAAAAAAAGGAAATAAATAAATTTAAAATATTTTGAAAATGAAAAAAATAGCAAAAAAAAAATTACACGAAGCTTCGAAAAATATCTCATCGAAACTCTTGTCTCTATTTGCAAAAAAATTGGAGTATTCGAATTTCACAGGCTTCTCTTGTGGCCAATTCTTCACGAGGCAAATCATTTGCCATAGACAGGAACAGATGTTAATCATTTGATGCGAGATCCAGACTATAAGGTGGATACATCTGTACCTCCAAAACAAACTCTCGGGGCTTCTGGAGAGTTACTATCGATGTCTGCAGCCTTGCACTGTTCTGATGAAACTAAATTCCCCTCCTGTTGGCCTTAAGGCAGGCGGTCCAATTACTAACCGTACAGTCCTTAATAAAGAGTTCGGCAGTAGGGGAACAACTCATAGTGGAACGCATAACAAAATCTTCATTTTTGTAAATTTTTTCATATTTTTTTTTGTGTTCTTAAATCATTTTTATTTTTAATTTTTTAGCTCTACTTTTTAGCTTTAAAATTTATTATTTCAAATAATTTTTCTTGGAAATTCACTGATTCCATAAAATAAAAATATTTTCTTAAATGTTTTAAGTGCATTCTTGTTCTTCAATTGAAAATCACCCCTCTTGAAATATACCTTACACTCAGAGTACGTCTCTGCCTTGGCTAAATACTCGTGGTTGCTAAACACTCAGCTTTTTCGTCATCAACGTAAACGGAAATTTTATCAAGTTTTTCAAAAACCGCCGCATGATCGACCACACTCGCATGCGTATGTTCGTAGGTATATACGAATTTTTGTACTTTGCTTTAAATTACTCTACAATTACAAATTTTTTTATTACTACTAAACTTTTTCCATAATATTTTGCAGCTTTACACCATACATCAAAGTCGAATTGGAGACACGCAAGCAATTCAATTAATATATATGTATATACATGTATATACATATAAATAAATAAGTCAAACATAGAGTGCAGTTAATTGTAGTGAAAAAATAGTAGCGGCAAAAAGTGTGTAATAAATAATAATTAAGTGAGCAGATAAGCAAAGCGAGGAAAGAAAAAATTAAAATAAATAAACAGAATTAAATAAAAAAATTTAAAAATTGTAATTTAAAAAAATAATAAAAAACAATAAATAAAAGCAAAATCCCACCAATTAAATTCCGATAAAAGTAAAAGTTGCAAAAAACGTGCAGGAAAACGTTTGAAATTGTTTTTATTTGGAAATTAAGATACAATCGGAAGTTAAAAAAATTATAAAATAAAGAAAATTTAATAAAATTAATCAAGTGAGAAAATAAGAAAATAAAAAATTGAGGCAATAATTGTGAACCGAGACTAAAAAAAAAATTTTTTAAAAAGTTTCAAATTAAAAATTGGATTTATTGTAATCGCCAGCTCACTTCTTTATCTGTGTATGTGTGCGCGTGTGTTCCTTAACGCCGGCTCAACGCCTCAATTTGTTGTTTGTTTGATAGCTTGTCGGCTGATAACTGGCAGCGCTTACGGCTAAACCGACAGCTGATGATGACAACCAATCATAACACCAACAACAGCAAAGTGAAATTTAATTATAATTAAAAATAGAGAGAAAGACGTAAGATTTTTAGAGCGAAAAGCCAGTAAAAGAATGAAAAATAGCGCAAAAAGTGGCAAAAAATGAAATATGAAAAAAATATACATTAAGAAAATTCCAATTGATGTGAGTGTAGTGAAGAATATAGAAATAAAGCAGCAATAGAAAGCAGTCATTCGCAGTTATTGGAGTGGAAAAGGAGGTGAGTGGAAATTCGATTAATAATTAATATAATAATTTTATTTGTTTATTTCGAAGAATAAATATGTATTTTTGTAAATATAACATAATTATTTATGAAAAAAAAAATACTAAAATAATTTAAATCAAAACTTAACTAAATATCGGGCGAACCGAGAAAAAATTAGGCACAATAAATGACAGCCAAAAGGGAAAGAAATAATAAAAAAATTATAGAAAAAAGAAGCACAAAAAGATTGGTGCTACTAAGAAGAAGAAGAAATTATAAATATGATATAAAAATTGTACTTTTAATACATGAAAAAAGCTAGGGAGAAAAACCGATCTAGAATGTAATATTAACGAAAAAAGGATAAGGAAAGTATAGAAAAACTGCTAGATCAACAGAGATTAAGGTAATAAAATTAGGCAAAATATAATATAAAATATACGAAGAAGTAGAAGAAGTGGAAAAAGGAGAAAGCAAATGGGTAAGAAAAAGAGGAAGAAAAAAAAAAAGAAAAAGTAAAATCAGAAAAAGAAGATGAAGTTCAAGAGGAAGAAAGAGGTAAAAGAATAAGAAGAACAAAAAAGGGGGAAAAAACAAACAAAAAGAAAAAGAACAGAAAAAAAAACATTTGAAAATATGAAATACCAAGGGATCATAAAAGCATTTTATTTATTATTAATAAATTCATATCAATATAAAATATAAAATAAATTAATTAAAAATTATAATAATTGAAGAAATTCTATAGAAAAATTAACTAAAGTTATGAAAAACACAATTCTTGCAATATAAAAATTAAAAATCTGATATATGAAAAAAGTTTTAAAAACAGGTTATATAATACAAATAAACATTGTAATATAAAATAAAAATTTATTAAAATTATAAAACATAAAAACTTATTAAGATTAAAAAACATAAAAGTTTATTAAAAATATATAATAAAAACAATTATTAAAATTATAAATTCAAAATTTTTAAATGATAAATCATAAAAACTTATTCAAATTATAAAACATAAATATTTTTACAAATTGCGAAATTTAAAAATGACTAAAGAATTATATTATATATAAAAATGGTATAAGAAGATTATATAGAAAATTAATTAAAAAATAATATTCATAAAATATAAAAGTTAAAAAAATGTGTTAAAAATAAAAATAAATAAAAGGGATGTTAAAAAAAAACTTAATAAAACTATAAAACATAAATATTTTTATAAATTACGAAATTAAAAAATGACTAAAAAATTATATTATATATATAAGTGCTATAAGCAAATTATATAGAAAAATTAAATTAATATTATAAAAAATAATATTTATAAAATATAAAAGTCAAAAAAATGTGTTAAAAATAAAAATAAATCAAAGTGATATTAAAAAAAAAAAAACTTAATAAAATAAAAAAAAATAAATATTTTTATAAATTACGAAACTAAAAATTTAAAAATAATTGAAAAATTATTATATATAAAAATGTTATAAGGAAATTACATAGAAAAATTAATTAAAATTATGCAAAGGAAAATTTATAAAATATAAAAATTAAAAAAAAAATATTTTACATTAATAAAATAAATAAAAGTGAGGTTATGTTAAGCTGGTCGACACCTTAGCAAGTTTCTTTTGGTCGATGTAAAATCCTTAGTGTTACTGGAAACACTACATGCTAGCAAAATTATTACTTTCTGTTATGTCTCTAGTTTGAAGAACTTTGCTATTCACTTAACTACCATTAACCGTTTTCTGTATTTATCCTTGCTTTTAAGATCAAAATCTGTCTGCTGAAGGAAGGTCTGTACTCTCTCTCAGTGCGCAGACCTAATTTGAAGGTAGGGGAGTCAAGAGGCAATGATCTATTAACAGGCATGCCAGCAGCCTGGGGTCTGATCTTTTCGTTGCTAATAATAGAAACCTCATGAGCCTCGAATCATACATATTGTACATATAGATTTCGCTTTTTTACAGTCTGTAGTTCGCTCCTGAAGCCCATTAGATTGGGCGTTTCTGCAGAGCGTACTTTCACCGTTAATTTTTTTTTTAGAACTATCTGAATACTTTGCTCCGTCCCACTGTCTCTATTGTAGTTTTGTAGCTGCAAAAAGTCAGTTCAAAGCCAGGCGCTAAAGCTGAGCTGCTATGCTCGTTTATCCTAACAATTAGGTGATTCAAGGCCTGTGGCCTCGCTGCAGTTATGAATGTCCTGCTTTTAGCTACTTACGTCGGTGATGTTGATATGATAGTCTGTAGGCTCTTTCTTTTTTCAGATAAGTTGTTTTATTTCACAATACCGAAAACCCCCTTTTCCTACTTTTTTGCTCAATTTTAAGTAAATTACCCTTAATCCCCTTCTCACTGCTTATCCAACCTTTAATCATTGAATCATGCCTACGTGTGTAGTAAATAAGTGTCAAACTTTCAATACTATTTTTAACTAATTACTTTATTTATAGGCTGATAACAGCAATAAACATAAAAAAATAAAATAATGTTAATCTTAAAATAAAATACCAAAACACAACACAACAGTCAATTGAAAACAATGAAAATAAAAAAGGAAAGAAAAGAAATAACGTTGACCGCCACAAGTGTTAGTGAGTTAATGCTTAAACAAAATAGCCAAATAGTCGTATATTTATATATATACATAAGTATATATATAAAATTAAATATACGAGGACATAAGTGGGTGCACTAAGTGAAGTGGGTGAAGTGTTTCGTGGTTGCCGTGTGAGTCAGTGGATTGGTGAATGAGTGCCTGTAAAATGCCATGCACAGAGTTCAAATATACATATAAATATATGTATGTATATGTATATATATATATACACATTTGTATATCTGTTTATATGTCGAGCAACTGTCAGCACTGCTTAGCCGCTTTGATGACTACGCTGACATTTGTTGAATGGTGACGTTTAGCTGTAAATTGTTTTTCATTTGCTTTTTATATTTATTAACGGTACTTTTGGTTTTTTTTTACATTATTATTATTTTTTTGCTGTTAATTTGGCTTTTGTTTTATTTTTTGAAATTTAATTTACTTTATTTTTATTTTTTATCGCGCAAACTTTGTGTTTATCTTGTGTGCCTCATGTTAAACGCCACGTTGACAGACAACAACCGAAATGCCACTGACAGCAGATGGTCAAGTGAAATGGCATTAAATGAAATATAACATACAAAATGTACACGAATGTACATACATATGTATGTATGTACAAACGGGTACATGTGTAATTATACAAAGTAAATGAGGAATGTTTAAACTGCTTGTCTCAAAAATTTAAAATCAAAGAAAGAAATAAAAAATAAAATAGAAAAATAAACAAAATTGAGGAAAATAAAAAAGAAAATAAAAACAAGATAAAAATGCATTGAAATAAAACGATAAAAATGAAGAAAAAATAAAACTGAAAGAAATAAATAAAAATTTATTTTATGAAGAGTAAATATAAAAATAATTACACAGAAATGAGCTAAAACAATTAAATACAAAATTTAAAAACTGCCAAGAAACTACATTGTAAATAACAAAAATAGTTAAATAAAATATAAAAAGGGTGTAAATTCTTTTTATTTTTTTGATACTTTTTTATACTTAATATTGTTTTTTTTTATCAAATTTTTGTTTTTCTTTTTGCAAATGATGAGTTTCAAAAGTATATCATATCGAAGAAAAAGCTCTCATGTTGGCCGTGTGCTCTCGCCGCGATCTCCGCTCACTTATCTGCTTGCTTATTGCTTGTGACAGTAGGCTTTACTCTAGCCACACTAAGTACATGATTAAATTAGCTTATTTGGATTTGGGGATGATTGACGTGCATGGCATGGATATAAGCGAACATACATGAATAGATAAGCTTATAGCTAATGAGATTTATGTACTTCAATTTAGCGCCAAAAATTAAGTATTTTCTTAACAAAGGGATTTAAGAATCAAAACTGAGAGAAATATTGACAATTAAAAATATTATTTGAATTCGAAAATTGAGCTTTTAATGAAGTATTAATCAGGTGTTTATATTAATTTCTATTTAATTTTAATATTATTATTTCTATTTTATTTTTATTTTTCTTTATTATTTAGTTTACATTTTTTTAAGTTCTTCTTTATTGCGCTTTATTTTGTTTCTTTTTTTACGATTTAATTTATTTAAGTTTTTTAAACCTTTTCGACTAAATAAAACAACTAAGCTTTCAATACTGAAATTATATTTTCTTATACGAAACAAGTTATTTCAAGTTGTTTCAGCTTCCACTACAACTTTTAAAGCAATCAATTGTCAGTGAAAAAAAATTTTGCATTATTTAAGAAAAATGAGCACCTATAAATGGAGCTTTTTTAGTGGGAAAGTTCGTTAGTGGAACATATGAATTTTATTTTAAAAATACCTTTAGACATTTAAGATAGTTTTCAACATTCACTTTTTTCAGCTTCAGAACACCTATTTTAAAATATTATTTATTGATTTTTTGCAATTTTTTTTTTTCAAAATAAATTTTTTTGCCTTTTTTCCGGTTTATATAGATTTTTTGTTTTTTCCTGAGCTTTTGGGCTAACAATAATTTATTATTTGATGTTTTTTTGTGAAAGCATGTTTAAAAACTTAATTTAGTGAGTAGAGCTTACGTTTAAAGTAAAATTTAAATTTTTAGTGCCCCAAAATACCTAAAACTCTTAAACAGCTTTCATAGCTTCTAAAAGTTTTTCAGGTTTTTCCCAATTTTTTTTTAATAGATTTGTAGGCCATTTCACCTATTGAGCTTTTTTTTAGTCACATTTGAATATATTTAAAATAATTTTTTACTCAACTGCTATTATTTTCAAGCTTGTTTTTTCCTGTAGTCTTTCTGTTTTTTTATACATTACATTATATTTTTAATTATATTTAGAGCTTTGCTGAGTGCTTATTTAATGCTCCCTACAGCGGGTTTGCTTATGTATGTACCTTCTTCGCTGGAAAGTCAAACTTTAAAGTACGGCATGCTGTGTATTGTTTCAAA